AAAGTTTTGGGGTTACAGGCATGAGCCACTATGTGCAGCCTCTTCAAACTATTCCAGATATATACCCAAGAGAAATAGAAACATTTTCACATAGACATTTGTATGCAAATGTTTATGGCAGCATTATGCCTGATAGCCAAAAGATGGAAACAACCAAATGCCTCTCAACAGACAAATGGGTAGACAATATGTGCTGTATTCATACAATGAAATATTACAATTAAAATATATACAATTTTAGCCATAAAAAAAATGAAGTATTTACATGCTTTAACATGGATGAACCTTGAAAACATACTAAGTGAAAGAAGAGAGTCAGTAAAACACACACACATACACAGGCCCATACAGTATATTATCCCATTCATATGCACATCCAGAAAAGCAAAATCTATAGAAACATAAAGTAGATTAGTGATTGATTGGGGCTGGGGATGGAGTGAGGAAGGTGGAGTGTTACAGTTAAAGATACAAGATTTCTTTTTGAGGTGGTAAAATGTTCTATAATTGACTGTGGTGATGATTGCACAAATCTCTGAATATATGAAATTCATCAAATTGTGATCACTTTCAGTGATTGAATTCAAGTGGTGGTATGCTATGTAAATTATTTATATGAAAGTTGTCAGATTCATCATGGAGTCACTTGTGTTAAAGCCTGGCAAAACAGCTGAGGAAGGTCATAAAGGGAGGGCTCTCACACATGATTTGCCTGATTACAAGAACTAGCACAGGAAATTTTTCTAAACTTTTCTAAATTTTTCTAAACTTCACAAGGCACACACAAGAACAGCTAGCCATTTATACGAGAACATTTGCCTGACAAACTGTCTAACAGGCCAAATCCAAACTGCAAGAGTCTAACCATAACACTAAAATTGCAAATCCTACCTTGGAATTTACTGAGACTCATCAGTCAGAACTCACCAGCTCTTACATAAGATGCTCCAGTGCCAATAAGCTTTCTTTGAAAACAACTTGCATAACCTCCTCTTTGCCCAATCAACCCCAGCCTTTCTTTTGTTTTCCAAACATACCAGGGGCCACCCTGTTCTCTGTGTGCATTCCAGATAGCAATTCTGTTTCTTGTATGTTATTTCCCAGTAAAACTTTTTTTTTTTTGTATTTGAGACGGAGTTTTGCTCTTGTTACCCAGGCTGGAGTGCAATGGCGCGATCTCGGCTCACCGCAACCTCCGCCTCCTGGGTTCAGGCAATTCTCCTGCCTCAGCCTCCTGAGTGGCTGGGATTACAGGCACGCACCACCACGCCCAGCTAATTTTTTGTATTTGTAGTAGAGTTGGGATTTCACCATGTTGACCAGGATGGTCTCGATCTCTTGACCTCGTGATTCACCCGCCTTGGCCTCCCAAAGTGCTGGGATTACAGGTGTGAGCCACCGCGCCCAGCCTAAATAAAACCTTTTTACTTAGGAGATATGTCTCTCTATATTTTTATGTTGACATATCTTTTTTCTTTATTTTTTAAATTGACATATAATATTTGTACATATTTATGGAGTACAGAGTGATGCTGTGATACATGTAATGTATAGTAATCAGATCCAGGTAAAAAGAGAATGGTATAAGAGGAGCTAGATTAAATTATTCTGGGAATTTTTGATCAAAAAAGAAAAAAGGAGTGAAGCTATCTCTTTCATTGAAATAATAAGAAAATCACAGTGAACAGATGAAGTTATAAGATGTGGAAAAAAAAAAAAAACACAAGAAGTGCCAAGTTAAGAAAGGTCGTGGCCAGTGGTTTTGGTCTTAGGGTAAAACTGAGACAAAAGTCACCTATAAAGATTGAAGGGTTGCAAAAGTAGAATTTTAGGTTGTTGCTTTGAGCTTCAGGTCTCTTGGTATTAAAGGGGTTTGTATAAATGTCCAGTAGAAATCATTTACTTTTTTTCTGCAGTACTTGACCAGCTTAGCAGCAGACACAGAGAACATCTCAGTAAGATTTTCTTAGGGCTTTGAAAGATAGGCGAATTGGAAAAATCCATCAGGGTGCTAATGAGAGCACCCTGAAATGATGGCTGTGGAAAAAAGGATGACATAGACCAGGTGGGCTGATGGAAACTAGAAGCGGGAAGGGGTCACGTAGCATGGATTACAATGAGGTCAAAAAACAAGTTGTTTAGAGTAAAATATACTACCCTTATAGATATACAAAGCCCAGCATGACTCCGTCCATCTGTTGTCTCTGATGTTATCTTGTACTACCCTCCTGTTACTTAATCTGCTCCTCTGGCCAACACAGCCAGGTGTGTTCTCTCCTCAGGGCCTTTGTACTTGCTGTTCTTTCTTTATAACAAGCAATTTCCCTGAAAATCTACACAATTTGCTCCCTCTTTTCTTTCAGGGCCCCTCAGGAAGCCTTCCTTCCATTGCCTCATCCTATCTAAAATTGGATGAAAAAGGAAAAATACTTAAACATTATTCTCTGTCTTCCTTGCTTTATTTTTCTCCTAGCACTTATCGTTATAATATTCTATATTTAACTTACTTTAATTTTATATTTTTGTATGTATCTTTCCTGTTACTACGTAAGCTTTAAGAAGACAGGGATTTTTTTTTTTTTTGACAGTTTTGCTGTGTCTCCCAGGCTCAAGTGCAGTGGCATGATATTGGCTCACTGCACCCTTTGCCTCCCAGGTTCAAGCGATTCTCCTGCCTCAACCTCCTGAGTAGCTGGGATTACAGGCACATGCCACCATGCTACCAGGCCCGGCTGGGAATTTTTTTTAAAACCAAGTTCTGTACTGTATTTCTGTACCTAGGAAATACTTGGCAAATATTACAGAGACTTAATATTTGTGGAAGGAAAAATAGAGATAGAAGGTGGGGCATGTGGAAAGTTTCCTTTAAGCTTGAAGGTCTTAGAGGTGGAGCAGTTCAAAATGAGGACTTAACCGGGCGCGGTGGCTCAAGCCTGTAATCCCAGCACTTTGAGAGGCCGAGGCGGGTGGATCACGAGGTCAAGAGATTGAGACCATCCTAGTCAACATGGTGAAACCCTGTCTCTACTAAAAATACAAAAAATTAGCTGGGCATGGTAGCACGTGCCTGTAGCCCCAGCTACTCAGGAGGCTGAGGCAGGAGAATTGCCTGAACCCAGGAGGCGGAGGTTGCGGTGAGCCGAGATCGCGCCATTGCCCTCCAGCCTGGGTAACAAGCAAAACTCCATCTCAATAAAAAAAAAATTGGGGACTCAAATTTGGAAGCCTCTCTAGTAAAGCCAAAATAAAGCTTATTATTAATGTAGACTTTTAATATATGACAGGTTTTAGAAAACTTGACATTGTAGTCACCAAAGATCTTTATGGTAGATTTGGAGAACAGGAAAGTATTAGTTCTTTTAAGTCAGTGCCAGAATTTGTGCAGAAGTGGGAAGAGGCTTCTAAGGTCAGTAGACGACATGAGTAAAAATAGTGACATTTAAGTAGGTGGCTTGGACTTCAACAGAGGATTGCTTCAGACAGATTTAGATACTAAGTTCTTTCATGCTTCCATTGTGATCTTGGTATCTTTATCTATTATAGAAATTATTATAGTTAGCATTTTACTTGCCAATTTCTTCACAAGACTGTAAAGCACTCTTAATCTCTATCTCCACAGCACTTAACAAAGTGCCTGGTGCATAGTATTCTCAGTAAATATGTGTTGAGTGTAATACTTACTGAATGAGAAAATATTAAGAGATAACTATGGAATTATGATGTAGGAGCCAAGAGCATTCTGATCTCTAGGTCTTATCAGTTGACCAGAAGGGTGAGAAAAAGAGAAAGCCAAGTTTCATATTCATGAAGGAGCAGGTCAGATGTTTTAAAGGTTAACATTTTGATGAAGGGATATTAGTTCTTAATAAAAGAAAAAAGACAATGCAGAAGCTGGTAGAAGGATTGTAAACAGGCGGGATGTGAGAAGACAATTACAGGAGTAAGGAAATAGATGAACATAATGGTTATAGGCATTTGATAGTAATTGTTGAAGGAAAAATGTAAGATCAAATAGTGTGATAGCTAAACAAAAATCAGCATGAATTATTAAAGATATGGGAAGTGCAAGCAGGAAAGAAATATTTCTCAGGTTAAATTTGTGAAGAATATTATAGAACAAAGTAGCATAGAACTCCAGTTGGGAGCATTTACATGATTTTAGGAGTTTCACAAATATTTTTATTTTGTCTGACTCTTGTTAGTAATACAAAAAAGGAAAATGTAAAAACCTAGGTCTGTACACTTTCCTCTAAGATGGTGAGCTTTATTGGGGAGGCAGCTGTGGATGGAAAAGGCTAAGCTAATGGAGCAGGTCTCTGCAGGCTGGTCTCTCTTTGTATGCTTTGGTAAGTCTGTAAGTAGGATTTGCAAATAAAGACATAGCCTCCATTAGCATTAATAGGATTTTACTCTTATTCTTTTAGTTTCAGGAAACATGTAATACATTAGGTATTCATGTGTATTATTGAACAGTTATAACGGGGCCTCACATAGAAATTAAAATGTTAACATAGATTGGGTGCAGTTGCTCACACCTGTAATCCCAGCATTTTTGGAGCCCAAAGTGGGTGGATTACTGAAGGTCAGGAATTTGAAACCAGCCTGGCCAACATGGTGAAACCCTGTCTCTACTAAAACTACAAAACTTAACCAGGCGTGGTGGTGGGCGCTGTAATCCCAGCTACTCAAGAGGCTGAGGCAGGAGAATCACTTGAACCCAAGAGGTGGAGGTTGCAGTGAGCCAAGATCGTGCCACTGCACTCCAGCCTGGGTGACAGAGTGAGACTCTTGTCTCAAAAAAAAGCTAATATAGTCCTAAATGTTTAATTATGAAATATATTTGTAAATATGTACATTGTAAAATAAATTCTTTTTGTTAATATATAGTTACATTTTTATGGGAGGTACATTTTTTAAAAAGGTATTTAAATACAGCTTGACACAATAGCATTTAGTTCTGTGCAATTTAAGTTAGTTTTTTAAAAATTTTGTTTCTACAGTCCAGAAAAGGCTTTGAAAGACTCACTACAACCCTATGAGGCTGCTTATCTATCAAAATCCTTATCTCGACTCTTCGATCCTATCAACTTGGTTTTTCCCCCAGGTGGTCGTAATCCTCCTTCCTCTGATGAACTTGATGGTATCATTAAAACTATAGCAAGGTATGTATTTTTGATATAGTGGCGTGCAATAAGATGACTGCCATATTTGTTAATGATATATGATAGCAGTACATTTTTAATTTATTTTCAAATTATTCAAGTAATTACCCCCACAATTAAAAATTTCACAGCAAATGAGTGTGCACATAGTAAGTACTTGAGATTCCAATTAATAAAATAATTTAAATACCTTAAATATAGTCTAAAAATAGTAATTATTCTGTATCTTGCCATGGATGCAAAGTAAGCCTAGCTCTTCATAGTAAATTTCTTACATTACACAAGAAATTAAATATAATAAATGATTTTATAAATTGAGAAACTAAAACATACAGGGTAATTTTTTTTATCCTAACCTTCAGAAAGTGCTTCATGGCAGAAATAGGAATATAATCTTGATTAGCCTACTTGTGTTTGCTATTTAAAGCTTTTTAAGTGAATGTAACAGCTTTTAAGACTCTAAAAAGGGAAGGTATCCTAGCAGAGGTGCCACCTGAATGCCTGCAGACAATGTAATTATATACTGTTGCCTTTACACATTTACATTTAAAAGTTTATCCAGACTAATTTGCAGTTGAAATTATCTCAGTTTCTGTCATGACTAACAAGTTGTCATAATGGTAGAACTGTGCATTTGAGATGGGCATTTTAAGGAATAAAATAGTATAAGACCAAGGTCTAAAATCTTTTAAAGATTTGAAGATGGTGATTCTGAGGCATTGAAGGGTAAGACTAAAAAGCCACAGGTGGCCAGGCATGGTGGCTCACACCTATAACCCAACCCTTTGGGAGGCAGAGGTGGGTGGATCACCTGAGATCAGGAGTTCAAAACCATCCTGGCCAACACGACGAAACCCCATCTCTACTAAAAATACAAACATTAGCTGGACTTGGAGGTACATGCCTGTAACCCCAGCTACTTAGGAGTCTAAGGCAGCAAAATCGGTTGAACCTGGGAGGCGGAGGCTGCAGGATCCTGAGATCATGCCACTGCCCTCCAGCCTGGGTGACAGAGCGAGACCTTGTCTCAAAAAAAAAAAAAAAATTAAGCCACATGTATAATAATATACATAAGCGTATCTTTTGCTGCAAATGTACCTATAAATTGTTCAGATTGCCCAGCATCTAGGTCCTAAATCTCTCCACAGTTGCTTTGACTTTCCGCGGTTCTGACTTTAGGCCCTAGTAACTTGATCTCTTTGACCTGTTTAAGTAATTGTTAAAGAGGCATCTCTCCCATTCCTCTATGCATCTTGTCAATGCTATAATCAAATATAATCTACAGCTGGAAGAATCATGCTTATGCTAGCATTTGATAAAATTTAAAGGTGATCCTTAACAAAATTATGTCTCAATACTATATGAAAGTGCATTTTTGTTACAAATAGTATGCACTAGTATTGTCTCAAACTCTTCCAACCTTTTTAAAAAGAGAATCTGGTAAGTGCCAAGATTTACTCTACTGTTTGAGGGATAATAATTACTTTTCTTGCCTTCCATGTGTATATGGGTTTCCATATGATTTTTAATTTCTAGTATTCGTTCCATGGTCTTTGTAAATACCTGTTTTTTTGGCAGATCAAATGACCCAATCAATCCAGTGTTAAAGTTGAAGCATGAAAAAAAAAATACCTTAAGAATATGAATTTTTAAATGTGTAATTACAGCCCTGTTATGTTTTTGTATTATTTAAAAAATTACTCTATTCAAACTGGCATGAATTGGCATAATTTCTACAGAAACTGAGTATCTTTATATATCATCTGTAATTTACATTTTTAGCCTATGTCCCTTCAAGGTCATCATTTCCATTCAAAAGCTGTCATTTCCTTGCAGATGTGTATGATATGCAGTGCCTCTAATTGCACTTTATCAGTATTAGCAAGAGTGCTACTTTAAAAATCTGTACACAATTTACTCTCTTAATCACAGACTGAACCCACACATGACATGCTTTTATTAATGAGAAACTGGTCATTAAGGAAGCTATCTCCAGGCACTTTTGCCTGGTGCGGAATTTAGGGGGTAAAATGAAACAAGGCAACCAGTTCTTGGAAGCAGTGGACTCTATAAAGAATAACCACATTGCTTATTGGGTTTGAGTTTTTATCTTGCTCTTTACTTTGTTGATGAACTATGTTGCTAATATTTAAAAACTGTTTTTATTTTCTCCAGTGAACTAAATGTTGCTGCGGTTGATACAAACCTCACATTAGCTGTGTCAAAAAATGTGGCAAAGACCATCCAGTTATACAGTGTAAAATCAGAGCAGCTTGTAAGTGGTATCTTTTATCTGTAAACTTTAATGATTTTGTTTAAAATCACTAACTATATAATGCTTGACCACAAATACTGATTTTGTTCCATTTTTACTATAGTCAAAGTTTGAAACTTTCTGCTGAATTTAAACCAGAAAAAAAAATTTCTGTTACAAAAAATGGCTCTCCTACACATTGTTGATATACTTTCAGAAGACAGGCAAGTTTAATAAGGTTTTTTTTTTTAAACGTATGTGCCAATTTATGGGCTGATTATATATTTTTTAATATTTTAAATAATTTACATAAATTATAATTATACTCAGTCAAATTTTCCCTTTTGTGTGACCACTCACTCCTTGTATCATTCATATAGTCACCTAGTGTGAAATTGACTTGAACTGTTAGAAAACTAATGGAGGAAGTAAAGTATATAAAATTTTAGCAGAAAAATGTTTATTTACTTTTTAAAGATTTCAACCTTAGAGCCTGAGAGTTTAACCCTAAATTATTTTGTTTGACATAGCTATATGCATGAATTTAAAATAAGTACATAACTGAATCATATTCTTAATTCTATACATTAATGCTTTAAAGTTAAGCACACATATTTCACTAGTATATATGTATGCTAACTGAAATCCAAACAAAATGAGACTTCAATACATTTTTTGCTATTACTGATATGCTAATTTTAGACACTGTGTCAAGATCTGATTGTCTCCACTATCTTTAGAATGTTAGCCAACTACGTTTTCAGTTTATCCTCTGACTATTCCCAATTGAAACATTGTAATAAACGAAATAATCTATTTTTACCTATATCCAAGTTGTTTCAGTTTGTTCTGTGATAATTTTTAGGGTAGGTTGGTGACAAACTGAAAGATTTGCACAAAATGATCCTTGGAGGTACCAGTCATGTTATGAGGCTTTCTACTTTCAGTTCCCATGGATGGACAGATTTTGTTTGCAAATATGCTACTACTTTCCATTTAGTTGATCTTGTAGTATTGACAAAAATCATCTTAGAAGCATCTTCTTAAAAAATTATTGAAAACTAACCATACAGAGACATGAAAGCTCTTTGTAGGCAATTACTGTTAATTTAGATTACTAATTTTTTTCTCAATCTTTGTTTTTAAAGGTGCTTTATTATAATGTTCATTGCTTCCAAAACACAGTTATTTCTAGAAATAAAATTCAGTATTATATCTAGTAGAGTTTAGTATAGTTACTGACAATGTCGAGACTTGAAGATAACACCATAAGAAAGGTCCAGCATATATATAGGAAGTAACTTGTGTTGAGGGCAGGACAATGGTAATGGTAACAGATACTTCAGTTAACAGAGTAATGCCAAAAGGCTTAGATGAAATCAAAATATATCTACAAACATTGTCCTGAGTTGATACTGTTGATCAAATCATCTGTGGCTATAAATTAGTTTGGCCTACCTAATCTACCTGCAATGTCGAAGACTAACAGAAAGTCATTGGCATTTTTTGTTTTTTAGTTGGATTATTTCTTTTTTTATTAAAAATAGTTTTATTTTTCAATTTTCATTTTAGTGTATAAAGGAAGCCTAAGTATTAAATAAGATTATCAAAAGCATCATATGCTTTATTTTTAACAGTATATTATTGACTAATGTCTTAAGTAACAACTTGCTGTTAAGGTTCATTTCTTGGCGTTTAATAACTCTTACGCTCCTCTGTGTTTGGAAATTATACCTGTTTTGTTTTTTAATCTTTACAAATATTCCTTTTCTTTTAGAATAATTTGACAAAACATTTAGAGGAAAATTTGGAAATAGTAAATCTTTAGTGGAAGAAAGACTGGAAACAGATTTTTTAATCGAACAACTACTCTGCCTATAAATGGAAATGTTGACTTGAGATTTGATATGAAAATTAAATCAATAAGTGGGAGATTCTTTTTAAAGGTGAAAAATTTAAGCCTCAGGTCCAGAAGATTAAGAAGTGACAGAATCTGTTGTTTCCTGACTTTTTAATCATCACCATTCTAATGTGTGAGATGGTATCTCACTGTGGTTTTAATATGCCTTTCTCTAATGACCAGTGATGATATGTTTTTCATATGTTTGTTGGCTGAATAAATGTCTTCCTTTGGGAAGTGTCTGTTCATATCCTTCGCTCACTTGCTGATGGGGTTTTTTTTTTTTTTTTTTTTTTTTTTTTTTTTTGTAAATTTAAGTTTCTTGTAGATTCTGGGTATTAGCCCTTTGTCAGATGATTGCAAAAATATTCTCCCATTCTGTAGGTTGCCTGTTCACTCTGATGATAGTTTATTTTGCTGTGCAGAAGCACTTTAGTTTAATTAGATCCCATTAAGTCTTTACCCATGCTTACTGCATCGTCCACCTCCCAGGCAGAAAGGATCCTCCCACCTCAGCTTCCAGGTATGCCAGCATACCTTGCTAATTTTAGTTATTTCTTGTAGAGATGGTGGTCTCGCCTTGATGCCCAGGCTGGTCGCAAACTCATGGGCTCAAGTGATCCACGGCCTTAGCCTCTTGAAGTACTGGGGTTACAGGCATGAGCTACTGTACTCAGCCACAAGGGAAAATTTGAATTAGTATTTTCCTTATCCTCTGTGTGTTAAGAGGAAACTAAAATATTAGCATATAAGGGAACTATTGTGACACCTTTAAAATTTATAGGCTTGTAAACTTTTTTGATATCAACATTGGAGGCAAATAAATTATTAAGTATTCCTTTTAAAAGCTGAAGGGTATTTTCCAACAGTAATCATTGTTTAATGGTTCCAGGGAATGGCATCTAGAATCTTAGTGTAAATGTGAAATGTTATGAACTGTGAGAAAGGAGATTGGCATTTAATTAAGTTGCAGACTATTTGAAACAATAATAGGAATAATATTTATAAAGGAGGTCTCAACTTCAATGTAGATCAGTAGCCATGTATGAGGTCAATAGTTGTTGACAGTAAGGTTTTATTTTAAGGCTTTGTAAATATACACTTTATTCTTAATATAAATTCATAAGTTAGTTGGAGACTTGACATTCCTATAATGGAAAAAAACATACATGTGTGATATTTAAACAGTATGGAGACGTATGAACTCAAATATGAGTTCAGTTTGGTTTTTTTGAGACAAGTGTTGCTCTGTTTCCCAGGCTGGTGTGCAGTGGCACTGTCTCAGCTCACTGCAACATCTGTCTTCCAGATTCAAGTGATTCTCCTGCCTCAGCCTCCTGAGTAGCTGGGATTACAGGTGCACACCACCATACCTGGCTAATTTTTTGTATTTTTAGTAGAGACAGGGTTTCACCCTGCTTGCCAGGCTGGTCTTGAACTCCTGACCTGGTGATCAGCCTGCCTTGGCCTCCCAAAGTGCTGGGATTACAGGCGTGAGCCACCACACCAAGCCTCAATTTTTTTTTTTTTTTTTTTTTTTTTTTTTTGCTTTAAAAGTATTGGCTGGATATGGTGGTTCACGACTATAATCATGGCCAAAATGGGGAAACCCTGTCTCTACTGAAAACACAAAAATTAGCCAGGGATGGTGGCATGCCAGGAGAATCACATGAACCCAGGAGGCGTAGGTTGCAATGAGCTTAGATCACACCACTGCACTCAAGCCTGGATGACAGACCTAGACTCCTCCTCAAATAAATAAATGAGTAAATGAGTGAATGAATGAATGGATGTATTATTTAATGGAGATTTAAATGTCATTTACATGGAATATCACTCCTTATATTACATGGTAATTGCTTATGTTGTTAATACACAAATATGAAATCACCTGGAATGGTTTTTGTATTATGTGCAAACAAATGAAACAAATCAGTAGTGTTTCTGGCCAAATGCACTTTAGCTACAATACAAACACACCACTACCTTTGGATTACCTAGCTAGAGTCTTGATCCTTTCTTTTTTTTTTAAGCTATGGGATTCTCACTGTGTTGGCCAGGATGGTCTTGAACTTTTGGCCTCAAGCAACCTCCCACCTTGGCCTCTTAAAGGGAACCACCGCACCTGGCCCACTTGATCCTTTAGATAGCCTTCCACTCTCTGTTACCTCTATTCTTATGTTGGACTATTTCAGGGTCACTTCATCCTTTCTTCAAGATAGCTTTCTGCCCTGGCACAGTGGCTATACCTATTATCCTGGCACTTTGAGAGTTCAAGACAGAAGGATTACTTGAGCCCAGTAGTTCAAGACTAGCTGGGGCAACATATTGAGACCCTGTGTCTACAAAAAAGCAGAAAAGAAGACAGCTTTCTGACATGCTTCTCAGACCTCTAAGAGCTTGATTTTCTGGAGGCTGCAGTAAGTCAATACTAGACAAACTGTCAGGGCTAAGAGTCGGTAAATCATATTAAAGACAGAGAGCAATGACAAATAATATTTTCAAGAGAAAAAAATTGAAATTGCCGGTTAAAGCAGGTCAAAGTCTGTATTAGTTATCTGTTGTCATAAGAATGCTGTGTAACCGGCAACCACGTTAGGCATGAGTGATGTGCAATAAGCGTTTATTGCTCATGCTTCTTAAGTCATATGGGGTTCTGCCTAAGTGGCTTTACTGAGCTTGGCTGGGCTTACTCACAAGACTGGCCTTAACCATATTAAAATCCTGCTCTGTTCTACATGTCTCTAATCCTGCAGCAGGCTATCCTGGGCTTGATCTCATGGTGAAGAAAGGGAGGCAGAAGAGAAAATATTCCCCTAAGTCTCACTCACCAACACAACCCCTGCACAGTGCAAAACTAAATAGCAAAGAAGGTGAAGAATTGGAACAAATTATGCCATCTATCACAAAGCCAAATTGAGAGCATGCAACAGTGAAAAAAGAGAGCTCATGAACTTTCGTAATTTTAATTTTTAGTATTTAGAGATGGGATATTGCTATGTTCCCAGAGTACACAGGGAGTATTCACAGGTGCAATCAGTGTTCTCTAAAGTCCCAAACTCCTAGGCTCAAGCGATCCCCCTGCCTCAGCCTCTCAGGTATCTGGAACTACAGGCAGCTC